CGGGATTTCAGAAAACTGAACTCACATAATGGGACCGTAACCCGTGGTCTTCGTGTAGACGTTTTTCTTGTCCGATATCGATCCTAACTTCTCGTTGTTGACATCATCGGTATCATTGTTGTCTCCGGTGCCGCCGTAATTACTGTTGCCGATAACTTTCTCCTTGGCCTTCTGAATGGCTCTCTCCAGGAGGTACTTCCTTATCCATCTTTCAGCGTCGGTGATCAGCTTGAAGAGCGACAGCCCGAGCCACATTCCGATATATCCTCCCATGTATCCGAAGGCCTCTATCAACTTGGAAGTCCGATAGAGAATATTAGACTGCTTGTTATCGCCAGTGCCGAGTAGAGTGCATCAAGAACTTTTTTCAGTCGGACTGATCCGGTATTCGGGTGGGAAATCATATATGGGGAATCGTACAGCTATCATTTCACGCCTCACGGAGGCCTATGCTCAAGAAACGTGGCCGGAGAATTCCTGCGGCAGCTCGCTGGGTGCGGGAGTCTCGCTTACGCTTAATTTTGGCTGATACTGGAAAATCTTCTGGGAGTCCGAAGAAAATTTCACTGACACTGAGAAAGATTCCCGACCTTTCTCCTGCTTGTCTTCGCCAAGGCTCGTCAAACGAACGTCATAGGTGGTTTCGCTGCGAGGGGTAAGAAAAAGTGTGTAATTGGAGGACGAACTCATTTCCGTCCGAGGAAATAAAGTGCTCCGACTGACCTGCACGGCGGCCCACATTTCTTCATGCACATCGGCAATGTCATGTTGCTCAGTATTTTATCACAGGCGACTGGAAAACAGCTTCCATCAATGCCGTGCATTGACCTATTATCTCAGAGTGCAATAGTGTGGGGAAAAGAAATATTCGGACGGCAATCTTCGAGCATTTAGCTCTTCATTTCGAGCACTCACTGATTTCCTCGACTACACATGTTTTATACGGGAAAAATCCGCCGAATTCGTGGGTATTCCTTATGCAGTCGCATGTTTTGTATTCCTCCTCCACGACGCACTCTTGAACGCAAAGCTGAAAGCAGATCCGAACATGCATCATTCCCCGGGTAAATAATCTAAATTACTTGAATTCGAAAACCCTTCGCGCATCACCGACCCCCGGTGCATCCTCCATGCTTAAATACTGAGGCTACGCAGTCTCTCGCGGACATCGATCGAGTCTGTGTCTGCGAGACATATGTATAAGACATTGAGGAAGCATCATCCCGGGCATAGGAAATCTTGTGCTCCGTTTATGTAAACGAGAGGGAGCACTCCTCGCCGACGGCGCTGCTGAAGCAGAAAAACATACTGCCAATGCACTCTAATGATATCGTTCCCAGCGACAGACTCACATCTTGAGTGAGGTATCCCAAGAAATGACTTTTTTTCCCTCGGGATAGATAGTCTGTGCATTTCGACGCGAACGGTGGTGGCAGTCGCTCGACTGTTTGCTGGGCTACAGAAACCGTATAACTCATTCCGGGTTTGATTGTGATAGAAGACAATCTATCCGGTGGAATAGTTTCGGTTCGATGGATGACGAGCGGGAGTTTCTGAGTATTGACGAGACGCAAGGTCTTATCCGGCTGCCAGGCCGCCCGGAGGGACAGTTCTGCGGTAAAGTGATCACTGATAAAAAAATATTATAGAGATCCACCCTAAATCGATATCTCTCGCCAGAGGAATCTCGAGTTCTCAGAACGCCATCGAACCCCATGTCCATGGCATCGTGCACTTCTTGAAACGATGATCGTCATCTGACCACTGGATGGCGTCGACGGTATAGCACTGCGATCCAGGAGGCCGGAAGTACGTGGGCCGCATCCTGAGCGAGAAAAATCGGGGTTCAAAGCTTTACATAATTCGAGCTCCAAGGATTTGGGTAGGACTTACTCACACTTCGAGACAGTTGAAGGAGAAGCAGGTCGTCACAGTGGATCTCATGGTACAACGGAAGATGTCTTTGACGGAGAACATAGATTTATTCCTCATCTCCGGATCGTACTGCATGTAATAGACACCTGGAGATATCTTCTGCGTTCTCGAGGTGCACTTTTCGGGGTAGTGCTCGCACAACGCCGATACGTTCATCCTGCGGGGCCAAAGGTCAAGTCTCAGCGTTCCATGAGATCATCATCCACGTAGAGCTCGCGAGTCCCGAACCTCGACGAGAGCCCTTAATGATGGAAAGCTCGCTAGATTCGGTGAATGATGATAGAAAATTACCAAGATTCTAGGCAAACGGTTATCCCTGGGAACATTATCTGGTTGCGAACTTCTTCGATGATAGTCACGGTGAAAGGGTAGGCACGGTACATTTCGATAATCCCGCTTGTTTGGTAGAGAAAGCCCGCGAGACACCCCAGCCATACCAACACTCTGATTACTCGGGATTGAGTGAAAGCGGCCATGGTCTGGGGACGAGCGGTGCGATTCTAATCACTGGAGGATTTCCGAGGAGTCAACCAACCAAGCAACCAATAGATGAGCTGGTCAGTGTCAACTCGCGACTGAAGGACGAATGAGCCCGGGCTTCGTTAAAACGCGATTAATGATTCACAACAGAAGGGTCGATAGGCTGGAAACATGTCAAACGTTCGTGACGATTCGAATGCACACGATCTCTACGAAGCCGGTGAAGCGAAATCGAACGATGCCGCGAGAGGAGCTCCGAGTTCGACGCAGATAATTCCCGAGGACGGAATATTCTCCTTCGCGACTGACGCTCGGATCCATCGTGGCGCTGATCGATGAGGGAGAATACCGAAAACGACTCTACTTATTGAATGTTCCAATTTGTGAGAAATCAGATGCGTCGACGAGTAAATCGTTATTCAGGCCCACCCTCTATTCGGTCGCTTGACCCCCGCGAATCAATACGCAAACTCAACAAGAGCCATAGGCTCCCAATCAGTCGGAATAGATACACACTTGACAGTTTACGACTTCGAAACATCTGGACCTGTTTTCAACGAGCAAAATGTACCCTTAGAGCTCCGGCCTTCTGTATCCGCCCGACCGTCAATCCGAGACGACCCTTTATGGGAGAAACAGCAAGGACGCATTGTGAACGCAAAACGGTGGGGATACAAATTTCAGGGCGATCGAACGAGCCTTCGTCAACGAGAATGTATTGCAGATGCCGGGCCGTGCAAAGGACCGCTGCTGCACAAAAAGTTCTTTCGAGGAGCCGTCTTTTTCGGGATGTGACGATAGTGCAGAAAGAGGGTCCATCGGCGCGATTGCAACTGGCGTCACCTGCAGTCGTGTGTTCATCAAGTAAATGGTGCAATCTGCCGACTGCCAGATGCTCTCTCGGTATGCCATCAAACGCGGATCAGGAGCTCATCAGGGAGTGCGTGGGTGGTGTCCACTTCTCTCTGGATCTCGTTTTAATATCGGGGCAATTTTTCATTTTGTTGTTTATTGTTTATGAAGCGGGCGACGCAGGCCTTGTCTTTTAGGCCTTCGTCCATTGGACGGTCTTATTCCTTCGTTCCCTTCCTCCGTCTATCCACTCCGTACAGACAGCGGCGGCAGCATTGGCCGCACCGGCAGCAGGAGCGGCTGCAGCGGCAAAGTCGCTCTCGATGAACGACTCGATGATAAGGACGCCAACATTATTTACTCGTGAAGGGGAAATCTCTCGCGATCCATGTGAAATGTGAGACCGGTGCGTTCTGTGCGAGGATCGCGATGCGCTGCCCGAAAGTTCGTCTGAAATTAAGATCGTGGCGATAGTATTGGTGTATCCAGTCCGGGATGACGCCGAATGACCGACGACTTTCGAGAATCTTCCCGGGGTCCTCCTGCTTCTAGAAGCACGTCGCAGCATGCAGAACTTCGTTTGCAACAATCCGAGCCGATGATCGATGAATCGCGGACTGCTGAATTTTCCCCGCTGCCAAATCTCGAAAAGACGCGTGAGTCGTCGCATCCATCTACTTCCGATTCGGAGCTAGCGTCAAGCATCATATCTCTCGGATATGAAGCATTTGTCGTATTTTGTCCTTGAAGATCACTGGAAGAAAACATCGGAGCCCTAATCATCGTATGCTCCAGAGAATGATGCGCATCGCTAGATCAGATTATGGAGAGCTCCGATAAGCACCAACCGTCCACGCCGGAATGTTCAATTCCAGGCGTATGCGGATCGTTCGTTTATTCCAAATACGGAGGGGCGGATGAAATGAGAAGGTTGCGATGCGCGAGGTTACCGGTGTGAGGCTTCGAGGTACGGAGAGGAAAATCGACTGAAATCACCTGAAACAGGAGCGAACAAGTCCGATAGCCCGGACATCGACTCGCTGACTCAGTGGCTGGGGCTCATCGAGCACCAACAAACTTTCACCCAGCTCTAGAGAGGGTCGAGAGTGACCAGGCCCCCGCTCGCTCGCTGGGTCGGCATCTCGACAACAGGTGAGATGGACGCGTTCTGAAGCGAGATGTCATTCCTAATAACAGCGAAAAGGCACAGTCTCCATAGTTGGCTGCTTCTGTTCGCCCGTACACAAGCAGTGGTCCCCGGCTGCCCGATCGCCTCCTCGAACTACAAATCGGAACTTCCACAGACATACTGACGCGCGCAGGGCTACGTGGCAAACCGAAGCCATACGAGCGCTGCATGGTAGCCCGCTGTTCGTCTGTCAGCCACTTTGCTAAATATGATTCTCTCGCAGAAACAAAGTGAAAATAAGGTTCTGCACGGCCGGCACGACGCCCTCGCGGCCGAACACCGGAACCGTCATCGGATTCATTGACAACCGCTGAAACGTGCTGAAATTACTTCCGTTAGCGTAACTGTGCGTCTTAGCGACCTCTGGCACGAAACAGAACTGTGTCTAGGTGGCTTTTAGCAGCGATGGGAGGAGGTCCAGGCGAACGGCCGGCCGACCGACCGACCGACCGGCCAACCAACCGACAGGTAGGCCTGCGCAGGAGAAATAGGAGGACATGCATTTGTTGCCGCAGAGCACTCACTCACGGCCTGGCGACGGATATTGGTTGGGACGTGTCTGTGCGGCTTACCTTGGAGCCTGCCCGGCTGGCTGGCTGCGGGCCGGCCGGCGATGGCCGTGCGCTGGACAATCCGAGTTCACAAGCCGCACCGGTGGCAGGAACAGCGCCCGTGGTGCCGCCAGCAGAAGCAGCAGTAGCAGCGATTTCTACGACGACGAAAGGGATTAACTCCTTGAAAAGTTTTGTTGCATCAGTAAACCAAGTCCACCGGCCGATGCTGTCGTCGTCCTCGGAGTAATCCTCGAAGTTGTCCTGCGCTGCTTGCTCGCTATCGTCAGTTTGGCAGTTAGCAATAGAGTTAAGCTGTGTACCTAACACAAAAGTGGATAATAACACGCAAACACTTTTCCATACAGGGAGGATTAGCAAGAGTCCGAGAGATAATATTTAGTAACTCTGAGACGGCTCTCCGATCCAGGCCTGAATCGGCGATCCTTCGATCCTCGATCCGGAGGCATACCAGTGGCGTCTCCGAGGACGAGCTCGAAACCTCCCGTGATTTCGAGCTCCAGGCTGGCGCAGAAAACCTTATTCGATTTTGAGACAAATGGATGGACCATGAACGAGAGAAGAAGGAATAGGAGAGAAGTGGCGCGAGACCGGTGTGTTTGCCCTTACCGCAGGGAGCTGCCCTTAGGGTTCTTCTCAGGAGCCAAATGTGAGGGGCTGCGTGTAGATGATCGAGGTGAACTAGGTGACTATGGACGAGTCGAGGGTTGGGGTCAAACGTGGGCGTGCCTACTGGGAAGTGGGAGCAGTAGCAGGAGTAGGCGAAGCAGCAGCAGAGGCTTCCTTAAGCCTAACAAATTGGCCAAAAGTCCACAAAGGATCAAAGTTCAATCCGACGCCGCCGTACACAGGGGCGAAGCGGGTTTGCTTTTGAAGCGTGCTGCCGTCCTGAGGTGGAATCTCGGTGTCGGACAACTTCTAACACCAAAGCAACTCCCTCCTCCCGTGCTCGACTGTCTGAATGACTGTCTGACTATCACTTCGCAAAACCCTACCACCGGGGACGCTCGAGATCCACGAGCTGAGAATTCTGCATCGGAAGCGAATACGGAACGGACGTCTCCCGGGCAAACCATATTATCCGTGGAAAGTTCTACGTGGGGACAGCGACCGATGGCGGGTCAAACCAGCGCGGAGACCATCCGGACTCGGGAATCTACTTCCCCAAAGTCTCAGGGAATCAAGGACACCTATCCGCCGAGTGAAACACTGCTTTGACCACCTCGAAGGGGCAGGAGACTGACACTGAGTCTGATCAGATCGGATCACGGAAGCAGTGTGGGCGTGGGGCGATTCCGATAGGAGAAAATCTACGATTTCGGAATAATGCTTCCCCAGAAGACTGAGGTTATTCCGCTGTCGTACAAATACCCGAATTCAAGCGGCATGCCTCACTGGGCATCTCAGTCGGTAAGAGATCCGAGACGGCCAGATCGGGTGGAAGCCCCTTTGGCGCATTCTGAGTGACAACAATTGTGCGAATCGGAGCAGGATGGGAATTCGAGAGGCACCTCATCTTAATCAGAATGCGTCGTACAAGACGTATCTTGAAAGGTTAATTCGTCTTTGCTATGCGTTGGATTCGTCGATTTTATCTCCGTTCGCATTGAAGAGTACAAATGTCGACGTAGATACCAGTGGTGAGTGCAAGCGACAATCGGCTGGGCGAGGATCGGGCGCACGGACGGAGCTGACGGCCAGCCAGCTCAAAGCTGACATCTAATGCGCATTTAATCGCGTCGCCCTTCTTTCCTCGTCTCCTCTTTCCGGCACGGCTGACGAGCCCAAAAGAACAAATCAAAGCCTCCCTCGATCTTCATTCGGCGAAGATATTGCGTCGACGACAATCCCAAAGCTCCTTGAGGGGACTACCCACAGCAGCGACCGTGCAATACTTCGAAGTGAAGGTATTCCAGCCGCTCGAAGGATCGAATGTTCGATTCAGAAACTAGGGATATTCTTCTATGGGACTTCCGAGGCTT